TCCCATAGGTGCTGCCAGGCCCCAAATCTGCCATGGGCCCCCGGACCGCCTGGTCACGCTGCTGCTGGGTCCACAGTGTGTCATGGGTCCCTGTACCGCCTCCCATTGCTCCCACTCTGCCATGTGCCACTTTCAGGTCTCCTCACACTCCTGCTGGTTTCCATTTTGTCATAGGTTGCTGGCAGATTACAGGCCTCCCATAGGTGCTGCCAGGCCCCAAATCTGCCATGGGCCCCCGGACCGCCTCGTCACGCTGCTGCTGGGTCCACAGTGTGTCATGGGTCCCTGTACCGCCTCCCATTGCTCCCACTCTGCCATGTGCCACTTTCAGGTCTCCTCACACTCCTGCTGGTTTCCATTTTGTCATAGGGTGCTGTATGGCCTCCCATTGCTGCTGCCTCCACCGCCACACTGTGGCTCCAAACACTGGTTTTAGTCCTGTGTATGTCTTCCGAATACTGCTGCCTCCACCGCCACCCTGCGCCATGTGCCACTTTCGGGTCTCCTCACACTGCTGGTCCATACTGATTCATGGCCCCCTGTACCGGCTCCTCATGAACGTGGTTCAGCGGGTTTGCATCACTTAACGGCAAATCGTTGACAAATGCTGGGACGTTCAGTGTTGTGCGCATTAAGCCAGACACCAAAGGGCAGCACAGACCTGTTATTACTCGCTCAAGCATGGCTGAACAAAACCAGTCTCTACCACAAATTGGACCCAGACCTGCCCAGGGTCTCGTAACTAGATTGCACGGAGGAGTAGAGTCCGTTATCGGAATTAAATAGACAAAACGCCACACCAAAAAGAGTGGCCATTTCCAACACTTATTCCAGAAAGAGGAACAACCCGTTTCATATACGGCCCGTAGACGTTTCACGTCTGCCACATTCAGTCGATTTAAGACGCAAGCTCCACTTCCTGTGGTCTCTGACCGTCGATATACCTTTAAGTGTCAGCTTTGAAGCTATATTCCCTCCGGAGCACTGACACTGGTGCCCTTCCGTCAACATCTTTAAGTTTCAGTTTTCAACCATATTCCCCACAGAAGCCAAACTCTTGGGTATCCCAGAAGCTGCTCAGCGGGTCAGGGCAATAAAGCTCCCGGTTCGCAGGTTGTTCCGTCTTATGGATGGAAGTACGACGGTATATGATCTTCTTCGCACCCACGGCATTACCTCATAAAATTTCTGCATTGCATCTGCAATCACAACGCTGACTTCCCGGATCGCCACTCAGCCATTGGACTCTTGATAGTCGTCTCCCCACACTGCTGCTGGGGGGACTTTTTAACCTAGGCCTGTGTATGGCCTTCAATTGAAGCTGCTTCCGCTCCGCCACTCTGCCATTGGACTCTTGATAGTCGTCTCCCCACGCTGCTGCTGGGGGGACTTTTTAACATAGGCCTCTGTATGGCCTTTAATTGAAGCTGCTTACGCTCCGCCACTCTGCCATGGGCCTCTTGGGTATCCCAGAAGCTGCTCAGCGGGTCAGGGCAATAAAGCTCCGTTCGCAGGTTCGCAGGTTGTTCCGTCTTATGGATGGAAGTACGACGGTATATGATCTTCTTCGCACCCACGGCATCACCTCATAGAATCTCTGCATTGCATCTGCAATCACAACGCTGACTTCCCGGATCGCCACTCAGCCATTGGACTCTTGATAGTCGTCTCCCCACACTGCTGCTGGGGGGACTTTTTAACCTAGGCCTGTGTATGGCCTTCAATTGAAGCTGCTTCCGCTCCGCCACTCTGCCATTGGACTCTTGATAGTCGTCTCCCCACGCTGCTGCTGGGGGGACTTTTTAACATAGGCCTCTGTATGGCCTTTAATTGAAGCTGCTTACGCTCCGCCACTCTGCCATGGGCCTCTTGGGTATCCCAGAAGCTGCTCTTTTTAACATAGGGGTCAGGGCAATAAAGCTCCCGGTTCGCAGGTTGTTCCGTCTTATGGATGGAAGTACGACGGTATATGATCTTCTTCGCACCCACGGCATCACCTCATAGAAATCTCTGCATTGCATCTGCAATCACAACGCTGACTTCCCGGATCGCCACTCAGCCATTGGACTCTTGATAGTCGTCTCCCCACACTGCTGCTGGGGGGACTTTTTAACCTAGGCCTGTGTATGGCCTTCAATTGAAGCTGCTTCCGCTCCGCCACTCTGCCATTGGACTCTTGATAGTCGTCTCCCCACGCTGCTGCTGGGGGGACTTTTTAACATATAGGCCTCTGTATGGCCTTTAATTGAAGCTGCTTACGCTCCGCCACTCTGCCATGGGCCTCTTGGGTATCCCAGAAGCTGCTCAGCGGGTCAGGGCAATAAAGCTCCCGGTTCGCAGGTTGTTCCGTCTTATGGATGGAAGTACGACGGTATATGATCTTCTTCGCACCCACGGCATCACCTCATAGAATCTCTGCATTGCATCTGCAATCACAACGCTGACTTCCCGGATCGCCACTCAGCCATTGGACTCTTGATAGTCGTCTCCCCACACTGCTGCTGGGGGGACTTTTTAACCTAGGCCTGTGTATGGCCTTCAATTGAAGCTGCTTCCGCTCCGCCACTCTGCCATTGGACTCTTGATAGTCGTCTCCCCACGCTGCTGCTGGGGGGACTTTTTAACATAGGCCTCTGTATGGCCTTTAATTGAAGCTGCTTACGCTCCGCCACTCTGCCATGGGCCTCTTGGGTATCCCAGAAGCTGCTCAGCGGGTCAGGGCAATAAAGCTCCCGGTTCGCAGGTTGTTCCGTCTTATGGATGGAAGTACGACGGTATATGATCTTCTTCGCACCCACGGCATTCACCTCATAGAATTTCTGCATTGCATCTGCAATCACAACGCTGACTTCCCGGATCGCCACTCAGCCATTGGACTCTTGATAGTAGTCGTCTCCCCCACACTGCTGCTGGGGGGACTTTTTAACCTAGGCCTGTGTATGGCCTTCAATTGAAGCTGCTTCCGCTCCGCCACTCTGCCATTGGACTCTTGATAGTCGTCTCCCCCCACGCTGCTGCTGGGGGGACTTTTTAACAGGCCTGTGTATGGCCTTCAATTGAAGCTGCTTCTGCTCCGCCACTCTGCCATTGGACTCTTGATAGTCGTCTCCCCACACTGCTGCTGGGGGGACTTTTTAACATAGGCCTCTGTATGGCCTTCAATTTAAGCTGCTTACGCTTCGCCACTCTGCCATGGGCCCCTGTACCGCCTCCTCTTGCTGCTGCCAGGTCCAGAGTGTGTCATGGGTCCCTGTACGGCCTCCCATTGCTGCTGACTTCATCGCCAGACTCTGCCATGTGCCACTTTCAGGTCTCCTTACACTGTTGGTGGGTTCCATTTTGTGATAGGGTGCTGTATGGCCTTCCATTGCTGCTGCCTCCACCGCCACCCTGCGCCATGTGCCTCTGTCGTCTGCTCACGCTGCTGACGGCTTCCGCTTTTTAACCGAGGCCTGTGTTTGGCTTCCGAATACTGCTGCATCCACCGCCACCCTGCGCCATGTGTCTCTGTCGTCTGCTCACGCTGCTGACGCTTCCGCTTTTTAACCTAGGCCTGTGTATGGCTTCAGAATAATGCTGCCTACACCGCCACCCTGCGCCATGTGCCTCTGTCGTCTGCTCACGCTGCTGCCAGGTCCATACTGATTCATGGCCCCCTGTACCGGCTCCTCATGAACGTGGTTCAGCGGGTTTGCATCACTTAACGCAAATCGTTGACAAACGCTGGGACGTTCAGTGTTGTGCGCATTAAGCCAGACACCAAAGGGCAGCACAGACCTGTTATTACTCGCTCAAGCATGGCTGAACAAAACCAGTCTCTACCACAAATTGGACCCAGACCTGCCCAGGGTCTCGTAAGTAGATTGCACGGAGGAGTAGAGTTCGTTATTGGAATTAACTGTGAGGGACTTTTAAACCTAGGCCTGCCTCTGTATGGCCTTCAATTTTAGCTGCTTACGCTCCGCCACTCTGCCATGGGCCCCTGTACCGCCTCCTCATGCTGCTGCCAGGCCCGTAATCTGCCATGGGCCCCCGTACCGACTCCTCATGCTGCTGCCAGGCCCGTAATCTGTCATGGGCCCCTGTACCGCCTCCTCATGCTGCTGCCAGGTCCAGAGTGTGTCATGGGTCCCTGTACGGCCTCCCATTGCTGCTGTCTCCATCGCCACACTCTGCCATGTGCCACTTTCAGGTCTCCTCACACTGCTGGTGGGTTCCATTTTGTCATAGGGTGCTGTATGGCCTCCCATTGCTGCTGCCTCCACCGCCACACTGTGGCTCCACACTCTGGTTTTGGCCCCGTGACTGCCCAAATGAGTGAAGTGTGCGGTGATTCTAAGATCGACGGCACTCATCTGCATGTCATACTGACTGACAGTATTATTTCTCTCTTCCCCAGCAGACTCCAAGGGCATTTAAATTAAAGGTACAGTGTTCTGCACTAATATAAAGGCTCTCTGAAGCCTAGAAACACCCTTTTTATAAGTTAAATTCGCAGCGAATATATTCGGCTCGAAGCGAATTTTTTCGGCGAATTCGGCGAATCAGCCGAACCGAATTTTTGAATAATTCGACTTTGACACTGTTCTCCTTCAAAAAGAAAAGGAATGGGTCTTTAAATTAGGATCCATGGTACCTTTTGGCCTCAATAATGAATTCAGCCTCCAGGCATTTTTGAAGCCTTAACTTTGTTGCCTCTAGAGTGCCATGGCACCAACATAAACCTTTCCCCCTCTTCTTTTTTTTTTTTTTGGGCGTGCCAAATCCCTTATTTTCTGTCTTCCACCCTTTTTCTATTGAAATGACTGTTTTGATTTTGATTTTATTTACCTTTTTCAGCCATCTATATATGTTTTTTTATTTATGGCTGATTGATGGTGGATATATACAATTATGATATAATTTGATCCTTTGCTTCCTTCTTCCTTCTTTTTAATTGTAAATTGAATATATTGGTGAATGTCATTGATCCTTTTTTTCCCCCTCAGCCATTGTTAAATTTAATGAATACACTCATTGTCCATCATGGGGCTTTGTGTTACTTTATAGAAACGCATTGATTCCTGCTGCTTTTCTCTCTGTGTAAATGCACCTATCTCCTATCTCCACTCTTAACTAAGAAACACATTGATTCCTGTTAAATTCAGAACAAATAGTGTATTTATATTTGTGTATATGTTGCCCAGTTCTCACCTCTAGCTGCACCCGTTTTATGACTGTAGTCTGTTTCCTGAGAAACACCCCCCACTATTCATGTGATCCTTATCAGCTTCTAATTGGGGTGGAGTTGAATGTTTATTTGAGCATCTCCCTATAAATTTAGATCAGCTCATGGGGGGAGATAACTGATGGGGGGGGGGGGCACAGTCTCTGATGGGGGTGCTGCATTGCATGAGTGCTGCGTTGATGGAGTGCTAAGAAGAAGCAGTTAAACACAGCAGTTGAACTCAAGCAGCAGGAAGACACAACAGCAAGAAACTCTACTGCATGCTGGACAGACTGCAAGCAAACCCCCCCGGGAAACATCTCTTACAACTCTGAGTGCCACTCCGAGTACCTTTTTAATATGTCCCCTCTACTCCTCCTTTTCATATCACTATCTTGTGTTCCCAAAATCTCACTTCTTTATCCCTCTGCTCCACCCCAAAACTTGTACATCTCACCCTCACTGCTACCATCTCCCTACTACTGCTCTCATCACCTCCTGCTGATACTTCACTCTCCTGCTGACCCAAACACCAGGCTTGGAAGGCATGTGAGCTTGTGTACATCCCGCTCCCATGTTACTTTCTTCACACTTCTTCTTCTCCTAACCTCTGGGGATATTTCCCCAAACCCTGGTCCTTCACCATCTCACTCACCCACTGGTCACCCTCCTACCCCCATGAACTGCCGCAACCCCCTCAACCTTATACCTGTCCCCCTCCTCCCCGCATCCATCCCTCCACTCTCAGTTGCCTCCTGAATGCCCGACCGGTTTGCAGCAAGCTCACCACCATCCATGACCTCTTTATCTCCCACTCCCTCAACCTCCTAGCGGTCACCAAAACCTGGATCCAAGCCACTGACTCAATTATCTAATATCTTCTTATTAACAGTACTAACATAAGTATGAATGAGTTGGATCTTAATAGAATAATTGAGTTATTATATTTATATTTGTTCTAGATTGGGAAAAGTAAGGAATTAGACTTCATAGTCTGTGAATATACATATGAACATATTTCTTGGGTTTTTCCTTTACATTCAAGCCACATATGAGAGCAATTAGCTATACCTTCCCCCATCCTCCCCCATCTATGTAAGAGATAAAGTTACACTCAGACTTTGAGAGAAGTAGACTGGAGGGTTTTGTTATATATATACACATCTGTTGGTGTCAATTATCTTAGTGGGACTACAAGAGAATACCAACCCACTTTTAGGTTGGTGGGGGCTGGATTGCTCTTTTAAGAGTAGAAACAAAGACTTTTTAGTCACATTGCTAGAAGCCTTGAGAGACACACACACACACTACACACACACACATATATACAATCTTATTATCAAGAACTTAACTATATTTTTTGGACATTATTTAAACATTCTGTATGCCAATATTTTATTTCTAATTTTATGCAACGTTATTATTAAATCATCTTTTTGAGTTTATACAAGAAGTGGAAGGACTTTCTATCTGAACATTTCTCATCAATACAAGTTAATAAAATATCGAGTCAATACGATATTTTACAGTGGCGAGCCTCCAGTTCGATTCGTTTCCGCCGATCGCTTATTTTTGACTTTTTTCTCTTTCACCTTGATGAGAGGGACGAGGTTTGCAAACTCAGCAAAATATGAAATCAAGCTTTCAGGAGAAGTAAAGTCTGCAACAGATGAATCGTCGGCATAATCGAGAACCTAAAAGCAGAATTGGTGAGAATTTTGCGCAATTGCAAGCAACGCTGTTCCTTGGTGATGTCATTTCCCGCCAAGAGAGAAAAGACGCGTTATGTAAAGAAAGACCTTCTTAATCGGTAAGTAATGGATTTTATTGATGAATTATCTAGAGAGAGTAAGTTAGAATTCAAGAATCTGTCTACATTTGTTAAAGATAATGAACTTTGGCGGTACATGTATAATGAATGCTTACAGGCTAATAGTAAGATAGAAAAATCTAAGTTTTCCTTTAAGAAACTGAGCAAACAAGTACTTTAGAAATGTAATGAAGTTAGTTATGTTTTTTGCCATGATTTTTGCGTATAAGACGACTTTTTGACCCTTGAAAAGATCTCAAAAGTGTATGTGTCTAATTGCCGGATTTAGGGGGACTGCGGCATTAAGTACAGGGGATTGCAAAGGGCAATTGACGTCATTCAGTTTGACCTGGATCCAGTCCCACGACGATGTGTGAATACCAGGCAAGCAAAAATCTTTTCTCCTTCAGTTCGGCCACTGGATGTTCGTAAGCGACAGTAAAACGCGGCTCCGCCTCCTCACCGGTGATTGGCCGCCAAAACTGTAGCTCAGGAAAGGCACACAGGCGGCCAATCACCGGCGAGGGGGAGGAGCCGAGGAAGCCCCGCGAAAAGTTTGAGTGCATGAGATACAGGTAAATGATCTGTGTAGAGGTACATCTATCAACAATATGCTGTCAGCAGCATTCCTTACGGGGATGTTGTCAATCATGCAATAAATCTGGGCAGCAGCACAAATATGACCCCATTTTTTATCGTATAAGTGCATCTTATCCAGTCGTGTATAATGAATACGTTCCACTGATACCATGATGGGGCACTATTCCTAAAACTGACACCAACGATGGGGCACTATTCCTCCCCGCCATGCAGGGCAACACCAACGATGTGGCACTATGTCCCCCCCCCCCAATCTGACACCATCGATGGGGCACTATATCCCCCCCCCACTGACACAATGATGGGGCACTATTCCATCGGGTCACTGACACCAATGATGGGGCACTATTCTTACCCCCACTGATCACCAATGATGGGGCACTATTCCCCCCACATATGGACCAATGATGGGCCTGGCGGCCTACAGCCCCGGAAACATAAAGGGGATGTTGATGGAAACATTGATGGGGACGGACTATAATCCCCCCCACTGGTACCAATGATGGGCCCTATTCACGAACCGAAAGAGATCTGAGAGCTATTCTTGCATATGATATCCACCATGGTCCCAATCCAATCCTCATCCGAAAAAGTGATACCACAATGGGGCACCTCCTCCCACCTCTGCCTGTACATGGGGGCACCTAGCCCCCACTGATACCAATGATGGGGCACTATTCCTCCCACTGATACCAATGATGGGGCACTATTCCTCCCCCTACATCTAGGAGGGTCACTGATACGTTCAAAAAAAGAGATCGGAGAAGACAATGATGGGGCACTATTCCTCCCACTGGTGTGCATTAAAAAAGGCCTAGTCTGTCTATACGGCGGTATAGCCCAAAGGAACTACAAATAGCACGCGCAGCATATAGGGGGGTCGTCTTATAAGATCCTCCTCTTTGGAAATCAGATAATCTGACAAATCGATCGGCATACCACCAACGAAACATGTGAGGGGTAGTTAATGTTTTTAATGCAATG